TCAGGTGCTCAATCCGACTCAGGCTTTGAACTTGCCACCTTCTGGTCAGCAGAGATCTATTGCTGCTGGTGATTAACCAGCTGTACTACAGCCCAACCTGGCTCATGGATCAGTGGCCTAACTTGACATTCTTGTATATTCCTGCCAGTTTCTAGAAGTCAATATCCCTGCTATCTGAGGGTTATTGGGATTTGTAGTCCAAAAAATAACTTTTCTAACCTGTAATTCCTTCTTGTGCCTCACATTATACCTCTTCATGGTGCTCAATATCAGTGGTTGCCCAGGGATGAAGATATGGGGAAAGGCACAAAATGCCATTCCTTCCCTAAATAAATCCCCCCACACTTTTAATTTTCCTTCAGTACCCAAATTTCTAGCAGTGTAATAACTTAAAACTTCAATTGAGCATAAAGAAATATAGTTTATGCATCCATAGAAAGAGGGCAGGCAATCCAATGCAAATAGATATGAGTGCTTCCCAGTATTTCGTTTTCTGCAATGTTAGAAATTGGGGAACTAAAGGAAATTGGGGAAATAAAGAAAATATAATTGGGGGTGGTAATTTTTAAGGGGGCAGTTCCTTTTTTTGCCCTCATCATCCCTATGCCTCCCTCAGAGCTACAATCTTCGGTCTTCATTGTTGGCAATGGTGATTTTCTTGGCTCAAGTGAAAGCAAATTGATATCCCAACCTTTGGTCTCTGAGATATATCTCAATCACAGAGATAAAAATGGAACACAAAGAAATATACAAATAATAGTAATAGTAATAATTTGAATTTTAACTCTTTAGCGCCTGATTAGGGATTCCAGGAGCTGTAGTCAAGGCATCTCAAAGGCCAAAGGTTGAGAACCACTGCTCTCTAGACCTTAAGAGCATAACGTTTCTATTGTGTCCCCGGTCATATGACTTTGTGCTTCCCACTCCTTGATCCTGCAGCGACATCACAATACCAGGATTGTGACAGCCTGGGCATTTCCATGGCAACCAGCTGAATCACTAACACAGGATAGCAGCCTCTGCTGCACAATCAGGCAATGCCAAGGGGAGAGGGTGGGAGGCAGACTGTGGCAGGGATGCTAAATTTGTACAACTTCTGTAGCTGTTAGCCTCCAAGGGTGCTGGAGATCAGCTGAAGTGGGAAATGAGAGCTGCATTGTGTCGCTTGTTAGCAAAACACCGAGTGCCAGAACAAAGCATTTTGCTGCCTGGATTGAAGGACAAGGCAACACCGATATCCCTATAACAGAGATCAGGCAGAGAGTTCCTCATATGAGAAGCATTTCATACCCTTAGAATCACTGTTTAGATCATAGAATCTCAACTGTGGATGAGTCATACATTCTGACTCCTAGAAAACTCTGATAAGTCAGAAAAGACTTAAAAGCGTGCAGCAACAAAAGCTAGATTTGTGTGAACACTGGTTCCATCTCTTCTTTAAAAGAGGGGACAGAAGGGACCATAACTCAATGGTAGGTCACATTTATGTATGCAGAATCTCCTACAGTCTTCAGCACAAGCTGTCAAAATTGGAATTAGTCTTTTCCCCATGTGCTGCATGCAATTCCAGCCTCGCTTTTTTGCTATTCCCTTTGCACAAGTGAATGAGCAATCCAATAAGTTTTTTTATTAACTACAGTAGAGTGTCCTGTTTCATTTGAATTGGGGAACTATTTTGCAGAGCTGAAAGTCTTGCTACAGAAAAGGAACTTGTTCCACTGCTCCGTGGTTCGCCCACTAAGTGCGACTAACACATGGCTTCTGAGATCTGCTATGGTTAATGGCTTCAGAACAGGTCAGGATATAAAGCTATGGGTTGAGGTTGACTTAATATCCCACCTGGTTCTAAAGCCAGTAACTGTAGTTTCCTGGTTCAGTTGAAATGGGGAAACATAATGGCTTATTTGAACACACAGAGGGGCTGCCTAGCATAGAGTTGGACATATCTTGACTTACTAAGCATAAATGTGTTGTCCATTGTCTCTTGCTGGCCACTTCATCCTCCCACCTGATGGTACAAGCCAAACTCCAGAACAGCCTTCCTTTTCCTGGAGTGGAAATCCATGTGCCATTGAATTACAATTCCCATGTTAACTGGGGATGATGGGTATTGCATTGTGACTCATTGAAGGAGCATGGGGTTGGATAAAACCGCACCATAATTTTCCCACTGGACACAAGAGGAGCTTGGGTGAACCAGATGAGATACAGAGTGGTTGGATTCTTTCTCTCAGTCCTTGTAAAGAATGTTTTAAAATCCAGACACTGCCTTCAGGAGAAAGATCTGGCAACCTGTCATGAATGTTAATGAGGACAGAAAGGGTTGCTGTTCTGTGACACCTAACTGGTCTTGTTCTTTGTTGTGCTGGTGTTCTCAGAGAGAGACCATGCCTTTCTGTAAGGCCATTCTATTTCTGGCCTAGTTCTTCCCTTGCTCTTATTATAACAAGCCATTGCTGAGCAGCAGACATAGTTGTAAAGGGTACTGTGTGGTGAACTCAAATTTCACCATCTGTTCCACTTCCCTTTTATTCTCTGGCATCTTGTAAAATGTGAGACTTCTACAGGAAATAATGAAAAGAAGCCAGCTTGAATGGAATTGGGAAACATTCGGCTACCCTCCTGTCCCTCGGCAATTGAATAGAGAAAGCTCAGGGCTTGCTTCGGAAGTTGAGGAAGCCAAAACAGTAGGTGTATTTAGCAAATATATTGCAAACTAGGAGAATTTGAGGCTTCTATCATGAAGGAAGAGTGAGGAAACTCACACTTTTCTGTAAGGGAATACCCATCAAAAGCAGTAATCGATTTCTGCCAAACAACCACTAAGTTCCTGTCTGGCATTAGAGCAATTTGCAGGGAAATGTAACCAGAACTTGAAAATCACTAAATTAAGACTAAAAGCAATTGCATTCTCCCTTGAGTCTATTGAGGCTGAGAAATTGTCTGAAAAAATCCTTTACAACCCAGGGTGCTTTCTAAAAGATTTAATGTCTGGTAAATTTTCACACCTAAATTGATTCCCGTCTCATGGCTCTTGGAAGCCTTCTTTTATGATACCCAGAAACGTCAACACGTTTGGGTCATAACCTCTTTCCTCTAAGGGTGTGGACCAAGCCTCCATGGAAGTACTTTTTGATCATAAAAAGGGCACTTGCCCTATAAAATGTAAAAAGTTATATTATATTGGAAAGATGCTAATAACCAAATCATCTCTAAGTAATGATTGCTCAGAAATAAGTTACACACAATGTGCTAAAAGCTGGAATTTAAATTGGGAGTAAAACTTCCATTGATGTCAGTAGAGTAATTGTCTCCAAAAAGAATTTTTTGAAAGAAAAGCTCAAATCACATATATGTACAGTTTCCCAGATCCTATTCATATCAACCTCATTCCCCACTTAAACATGAGAGCAAGGGAGATCTTCATGACATTTTCCCCATCCTGAAGTAAGACCCCTTGTAATTGCAGAACTCAAGCCTGCAATTTTACCTCCTTGAACATGGGTGGAATTAATCTCTGTAACCATTTTTCTGGGTCCTTTGGCGATTTTTTTTTGTGTACCTGCCCCAAAAGTTGCTATAGTAGTTGCTCTGAAGCAATGTTTCTCCACCTGGGGGTTGAGACGCATGGGGGGTCGCAAGGGGGGTTTCAAAGAGGTCGCCAAAGACCATCAGAAAACACATATTTCAAATGGTCTTAGGAATCCCTTTGGTGGAGAAGATGGAAGATCTCTCCACCTGTCCTTCACTTTCTTCTTAGTGTTGGTGAACTACAACTACCAGAATTCAAAAACAACCCCCCCCCCGCCCAACCCCACCAGTATTTAATGTTGGTCATGTAGGTAGTGTGTCAAGTTTGGTGGTGGAATAGGTTCAAAGTGCTGTTTGATTGTAGGTTAACTTTAAATCCCAGCAATTATAACTCTAAAATGTCAAGGTCTATTTAATTTTATGGTTGGGGGTTATCACAACATGAGGAACTGTATTAAGGGGTCACGGTATTGAGAAACACTGTTCTGGAGGATATAGAAAATTCCTAGAGAAATACCTATTTAGGAATCTCTCCTCCAACTCAACTCTGTTATACTCTGACACTGGAAATGAGGGAATGTAATAGTGTTCAATCATATCTACAGTTTCACAAAACCACAGTTGGGCCAGGGCGTATCTCCCATGAATATGAGAGTCTTATTGTATTCTCAGGGAACTCCCAGCATGTACAAGGATTCTTTATTCCCACTCCCCAAATCAGGGTTTTCCAAATTGTAATGTACATCTCCATGGCTGACTGTGTTATCCTAGAACCATCCATGCTATTTGGCCCCAGGAAACATGTCTGTTCCCAGGACAGCAGAATCTCTTGCTCCTCTGACACAACTCAATGGTCAACTTCCAGAAAAAAAGACCATAGTTTTACAATGGAGGACACAGAGATTCCTAGAGAGAACATAGAACATAGAGATTTCTAGAGAGAACATAGAAAGACCTGGCTGTGGAACCAAGTTTTCAGCCCATCATAGAAATATTTAAAGTTAAAGTTGAAAGTGCAATGACCCAAGACTGATTATGGACAACATCTTTGTGTGATATGTGATGTGTTTAATAATGTGTAATGTTTTATCAGAGGAAGGTCAATTTTGATGTTTTATACTGTATCAGAGGAAGGTCAATTTTGATGTTTTATACTGTTTTTTTATCAATGGCATTTAATTGTTGCTGACACTGTGAACCACCCCGAGTCCCTTTCGGGGTTGAGAAGGGCGGTATACAAATACCACAAATAAAATAAATAAATAAAATTTCAATCAAACCTGTGAATAATTTGATCCACAAAAGTCAAATGTACTAATATGGAGGACCAACTGTTGTTCAGCAGCACAGCTTCAGATTAGCCTTCAACAGCTTGGCTCCATGTTTTCCACAGTTCTTGTAGACCCTGCTGAATCTAGATTTCCGTAAGGTTGGCCTTTATTAATTCATCTCTGGCTTGTATCTTTCAGGGAAAACCAACTGGAGCATGCTCTTTTCTACGTCGCGTCTGCTGTGCAGCTTTGCCTCTTCAGCTGCTCTTATTGTTTCTGCTGCTCCTTGCCTTCCTGCTCCCTCTAGCAGAGGAAACACACAGTTGCAAACTGGCCAACAACTTTGCACGTTCCTTCAACCTGATGCTTAGATATGAGGGGCCACCACCAACTTAAGTTCTCCACACCCTCCTCAGGTGCCTTTGAGAAGACAGCTTGGACTAGCCAAGTTACTTTCTCCTCAAGAGTGTCTTCTTCTTCGGGTCCCCTAGGGTCCAAGACAACTAGTAAGAGACTTATGCTAACTGGAAACTTGCTCGAAATACCTATATTACCCATTGTATGCTCAGGCTATAGAAAAGAAGTAATCATATTTAGAGCTGAAATATTTTTTAAAATATATGGCTATATTTATACTGTATATATGATTTTATACATATGTATATCTCAATGAAAGATTTCCCGAAATCAGTATTTTCAGTCTACTCCTGCCAGTTTTTTTATTGCTTCTGTTTTTGCTGAGTAGCAATACATAGTTTTAACTAAGTCTTGCTGAGCACAAAAGTTAAAATAGGATGTCACAAGGTGTGATGACAGATGTTGAACTTGGTTTCCCAAAACAGCAGCCTTGCATGAAATTCCTTCTCTCTTACTTGTGAACATATACTTCAGAAATGCTATAAGTGTCGCCTGATTGAAAACATCTTTGTTGATTAATTAATCTCTGGAATCTGCATAAACTCCCCCAAAACTCGCTGACTGTTATTGGGCAAGTCACACTCTCTAAATTTCGAAGGAGAGCCATGGCAAATGCCCTCTGAGCAAATCTTGCAAAATAATAATAATACTATACAGAGTGTGTGCTCCCCTCCCAAAATGTATAAATACTTAAAAGTTTATAAGAGCGAGGAGGAGGGAGTGAAAATTCCCTCCCCTCCCAAAATTAATACAATTTCTACAAGATTAAAAACCACAGTAGTAGAGGTGTCAGAAAATTCCATGATAAACTTTAATTACCTCCCAACAAAGGATTCCCCCAGGCAGTAAGAAACCAGACCTTGAAACTGCTGAGCCATTAAATGCTAATCAAGTTGCCCAATTGAAACATTCACGCCTACCTCAAACAAACAAGTTCTTTCTCCCACCCTGAACATACCACAGATACATAAACCCCATTTTCCTAGTTTACAACAGACCTCACAACCTCTGAGGATGCCTGCCATAGATGCAGGTGAAACATCAGGAGGGAATGCTTCCAGATCATAGCCATACAGCCTGGAAAACTCACAACAACCCAGTGATTCGAGCCATGAAAGCCTTCGACAATACATTTAGGTGAGGTTTGCTGCAGTGCATTGCTATGCAGGGACAACAATTTGAACATCTTCCATAAGACTGTGATTTCAGGTGTTATAACATTTATTATTCAATATAAATGTATTTATGTAATCTTCAAATAATCCCAATAGCTGCCATAGCATTTAAAGGTATTATACATTTTTGGGGCACACTCTGCATTCATTACAAGCAATATCTATATGTATTAAAACAGTATGTGTATTTTTAAATCTCACATATTTTCCAGAGCATTTTTTTCCATTTTGATCAATTCATCTAAGCAATTAATTAATTAAACATTGCAACTGTAAAGAAAACATTATTTTATTGGCTACTATAAACCCACAAAATCACATCTTTTAATGTTTGCATGTTTACATATTATGAATAAAGAAAGGTTGCTATTTTGGGTAACACCCATAAGGTTCTCATTGCATCTTGTTCCACCAAAGTATGATAAGAGATTATCCAGGGAATGCCTTACAGAATGCCGTGAGGAAAGGTTACTCATATATTTAAGGCAAGAACTACTTTTAAAAGTGTGGGTGTTTCCCATTATTTTATTTCCTTAGCATTCTTTGTGTGGTCCAATTAGGAAACCAACAAAATTCTCAGTAGGTGCTTCAAAGAGAAGTGTGTATGCAGAATTTGGAGCCTGGCAAAGAGCAGAGATCCAAAGCCTCCAGAAATACACCTATGTATGGGAAAGTATACTTTTTTATGCGGAGCTGTAAAAATTGTGTTGGCAGCTATATCTTCATTTTTCTCATCTCAGTTTCTAAGCAGGCACATAGTATCATGTAACTGTTTCTTGATCATATATCCTTCAGCACAAGTTTGAATAGAACATAAAAAACAGACTTGTCTAGCCTCTCAGTTCATTATGGAGAAGGGACTAGATCTGCAGAAATGTGTAGCCATTTGTTATTTTCACCTCATGGGAACATAAAGATGATCTTATGGGACCAGACCACAGACCTACCTGACCCAGCATTCTGTCACACAGTGACCAGTCAGTTGCCCATGGAAGCCCTATCAGCACAATAGTGCCTTCTTCCTCAGGTTCCTCAGCAACTGGTATTAATACTGGAACTAGCATCTACCCCATAGCTTTCCTATTAATACAAGTTGAATATCCAATATCCAGAAAGAGCTGGGACCAGAAGTATTTTAGATTTCAGATTTTGGAATATTTGTACTTGCATAATACAATAAACACAAAATTTGTGTATTTTTATATAAACCTCGTACACTTACTCTGAAGTTAATTTTGTAAAATATTTTTAAAAGTTTTGTGCATGAAACAAAGTTGGTGTACACTGAATAATCAGAAAACAAGGATGCTACAATCTCAGCCACCCATGTGAATAACTATGGAATATTTTCAATTTCAGAATTTTGGATAGGGGATACTCAACCTGTATGCCAAATGGCATTTCTTTCAAATCCAATAGAGTAAGTGACCATCACTTAATCTTCAGTGCATAAATTCCACTGTTTAATTGCATGTTCTTTGAAGAAACATTTCCATTTCATGTACCCTGAATCTATAGATTCTATTGAGAGGATAAAAATGTCTCTTCACCCCAAACTCCTATGATCCAGCATCATTAGCTATGTTGGCTAGGGCTAATGAAACTTTGAGTTGCCAACCTTTGCTTTATATCTTACCTCATTTTACATATACCGCTGTCCTAAGCCTAAAAAGGTCCCTTTCCTTATGGTTGAGTTACTTCACCTCTTTGATCATTTTGGTTGCTGTATCCTACAACTATTCCACTTTTGAACTAACTTAGAACTTCATGACCTAGAACACCTCATCATTTTTCTTGCTTCACTACTCTCTTTTATAGAGTGATTCAGAGCAGTTGTCAACCTGGAATGCATGTAGTATCTCAATGGGAAACCACCATGCTACTGCCATTATTTGGGGAATGAAATATAGAATGCCATTTAAGGACACAAAAGGAAAGGGGAGTCCTGCCAGGTTATGCAGGTGCATTTGTATGAAAAACCATAACTGAGAATAGGGTCCTTTATTAAGCACAAAGATCCAATTTAAAGAATTTTAAATGTTACTTTAGACACTGATTGTTGGTTTTAATGTAGTTGAGATAGAAGGGGAAAAGACAGATATCTAGATAGTTAGGATGGGTTGTGGGCGACTCAGATTCAGCTCCCCACTAAGCCAGGAAACTCAGGGAGTGATTTCAAGACAGGCACATTATCTCAGAATAAATCTTGGGCTTTTCCAAATTGGTCTAAAGTTGTGATTTTTCACAATAGAGTTTCTTGGGTTTTTTTGAGTTTTGTTGATTGGTATTACCTCTATGTTGATTTTTCCAACTCTTGTGAGGGGTTTGTAGTGGCTGTTGTTAATTGTTGTCAAGTCAACTTTGACTTACAGCAACCCTCAAAATGAGAGACCTCCAAGTCACCCTATCATTAAAGTCCCTGTCCAGGTCTTGCAGACCTGGGGCCATGGCTTCCTTGGTTGAATCTAACAATTTAAACATAAAAAAGCAAGCAAGAAAGAAGGGATAGAGCTACCTTATTGGTCTCAAAAGTGCAGCCAATAATATAGTATTAAATATTATTTATATAGATTTATATCTTCCCTTCCTCTCAAAAAAATCAGATGGAATTCACAGTCAGATCAAAAATTAGAAGCGAAACAATGGAAACCTAAATCAATAACGTGTGCTTTCAAGTCATTGATTTATGTCACCCCCATGAATTCCTCCCTCTGCACTTGATCCTGGTGATTGATCTCCCATCTAAGTACTAACCAGGGCTGCTTAGCTCATAAGATCAGATGGGTTCTGGTGTCTTTAGAGTATAAACAAGTTAATCATTAATTTTTACCATCTTTTCTACACTCTGTTGTTGCTTGGCCATATATTTTCAAATGTGAAATTTTGGAGGGTCTATAATTGTGTAGCATGAAAGGGCCCCAAATTCAGTCCAGCTCCTCTTTCTGTAGCCATGTGGTCTACCTCTTCTTTCAGCTGCTGTACAGCACAATTGATGACCTCCTGCAGAAGATTTCAACATTGCAACATATTAGACTTTTCTTCATACATCCCAAACAAATTTTGAATACATGAAGTACATTCTAATATAACTACAATATATAAAAAAGGATAATAAAAAACAATTGAGGGGGAATGGAGATAAAAGGAAAGAAAGTACAGAAAAACACACAGAAAGACAGAAAGCTATTATTTGTTTGTAAAACTACTTCAGTGACAATAGAGTTGCTATTTTTTCCATAGATCAAGTTAGCTTTGGCATCAATAACAGCTGAATGTATGACACGGATTTCTGCAAATGTACTGAAAAGCTTCATCTGCTGGTTTCTAACCACCCAAGACAAAGGAATGGGCCAGGTTTAAATCCATTTTTAATAAAGGATAGGAGGGATTATCATTATTCTCTCAAACGTTACCCATATTTGTCTATTATAGCAAAGACATTAAAGAGTCTAGCAACTTAGTAACCTATTAGTGGAATGCAGTTGACAAAACCAAATAAATCTTGTTATAAGGTGCCACAAAAGTGTTGTTTATAGACATAGAAGTGCCTGCCTATATAATTTGTGGTTTGCAAACAATGACTAAAGCTTCTAGAATACTCAGCCCTTTTGCTATTTAATGTGAAAATATCAAATGTCAAGCTTCTGAATCTAGCTGTCTATATTTTGGGACTGACATTTTACTCCTTGAAGAACAGGACAAGATGGTTTTGCTACCCACTTTTCCAGTCCAATAAACTGAAACTTCTTTCAGAGATTGAGAAAGATAGGAAATTCTCTCAAAATTGAAGCCCCCAAAGGCTCAAGCAGAATGAAAATGGAAGCAGTGGGTTGTTGTCGGTTTTTTGGGCTGTATGGACATGTTCTAGAAGCATTTGACAATACAAACCTACAACAACTCAGTGATTCCAGCCATGAAAACCTTCGACAATACAATGGAAGCAGTGTTATTTCATCTGCTACTTGAGCATCATCTGTTAACTGAGGCGCTTACCCCACTTTACCTAATGGTAGGGCTAGCCCTTCTCCCAAATTTTCATCCCCCTTTTTCAAACGGTGACTTTCAAGTGTCTCTTGACTGCTTCACTTCTTACAAGCAGCAAATGTTTGTACAGAATCCTGTATGAAAGATGTGTCTAAAGGAGACAGTTGGGTTGTAGGTCGATGGCAGGAGGCATAACAGACATTCTTTCCATGCACAGAGGTCAGAACAAAATAAATGCAACATCATGTGAACATTTCAGTGTTGTGCTAATAATTTCTTCAAAAAGGAAAATAAAAAAGGAGGAGAAGCTAAATTTGAAACACATTTCCCCTTCTCTGGTTCCAATGGAAATTATTCTCCTGGATGTCATGGTGAACCCAGAGTCTCCAGTGTTATCCTAGAAGCCCACTGAAATCAAGAAATGGAGAATGTGAACCTTCATTAGTTGTAATAAATAAGAAGATTGAATGGAGCCACCTCAGCCAGGGAAAAGAATGAAAATGAGGGAAAGGGAAGTTATTCTGTCCTGCCACCCAACTCGACTTCCAACCTCACCACAAGGATGAAGCATTCATTCACACTTCTAATTATTGGTTGAACCAAACAAAATCTCATTCAAAGCACCCATTCATACTCCTTAGCCTATCTATTCCCTTCCACAACCTACCTCCATATTCTTTACGCTAAACAGCCAACTGCCTCCTCCATGCTGGATGAAATCATCCAGTTGAACAGCCAAAAAGAGGGCAGGAAAAAGGTAGAACAAGGAAGGAGTTGAGCTATGGCAGATCCAAGCCTCATCCAGTCCTAAGACACAGACCCCATGGTGGGATAAATTAGGTTAGGGCTAGGATAGTTCTAAATAATTTCCTCCACCCCCAGCATCACCCTGCAGCATGGCGAGATTGGTCAAGGGCCAATTAGAAGACTGCCATAAACACATGTATATCTCTTTTGTAGAAGTCTGAAAAAGAGAAAGTCTGGCAAGGACAGAGGCTGCCATGTAGGGATGTCAGAGTGAAACCTCGAGACATCTCCTGTCTCTTTCATGACTGTATAGAAGAGGGAATTTCAGCAGATGTTGCTTGTTATTTGGCTGCATGACAAGCAACAACATCTTCTACACAGCCATTAAAATGACAGTTTTCATTCTGACAACCCTACTGACATGAGATTCCTGCTAAAAGTAATGGATGTGATCTATAAGTAATGCTTTAAGAGCTACTAAAGGATAAGGAAAATTCTTTATAGACCTCTTTATCTTAGGGATAGACAACTTTGATAATAATCCCTCCTGACCTACTGTGTACCACATGTCCCCTCAAAATGTGTGTGTTTCAAACCAAAAGTGTGAAAAAGTTGGCATTTAGAGATCTTTCACACCACACACTAACAGCACCGTGATTCTACTCCAGCTACCAAATTCTGTGGATTACTGGTGTTTGTAGTCTGTTAAGCAATAGAGCCTTCTGGCTGAGCATTCCATTTACTCCTCCCTAAACTACAAATCCCAGGATTTCATAAAATGTTGCTATTGCAGTTATAAATAATGCTATAATTGCATGACATGAAAGAGTCCACAGGTTTGGGAGAGGGGCTTGAAAATAGTATTTCTTCAAAAGAATGAGTACCTGCACCTCATTTTACAGAAGAATTGCTCCTAGGAGTGTGATATCCCATGTTTTACCTAACAAAACCAATATTTTATATTGGTGGAAGTTAGCCCAACTGCTGCAAAAATTCAAGGAGAAATACAACTTTTATGGTTGCCCACTTCCACTTTGCTACAGTCATGCTTGCAGGGAAATCCACGGTATCTCCTGTTATTTGTTGTGGTGGCGGTTAACTAGCTAAGCATTTATAATCTTTAATGGAACACAGTACTTCAAAAGAGACTTCTATCCAAATAGTTCACAGTCTAAAAGTTGGTCTACTGTCACAAGATCCCTCCAGCAGTTTAAGCTTTTACTTCAAATACAGATTGAACACTGAAGCACAAAAGAAGGGCAGGTTTGATTATGCATGTCAAGTGCATGGAAATAGACAGAAGCCACATATTGATGTTTGCAGCTACTCTTCACTGCACACTTTATCTAGAATCTATTTTCTTGCTGGGTTGCTGTCACCTGTGCACAAATGGGATAGACCTCAATGGACAAAGCATTCAGAGAAGATGGATTTTCTCTGTCATTTTTATGCAAATATGTCTTCTCTCTGCAATTCA